CTCTGCTTCTCTTGCCTACTATTTCTTTCCTCTCAAAAAGACCTCTGCATCTGCTTAGGGCACTCTGCTGCATTTCTGTCAACTAGCTTCAACCAGCTGCAAACAGGGTATCCATTTCACAATGGAGGCACCTTGAAGACTGTTCATAGGCCTACCCTTCTTTGCCCCCACCCCCCACTCTATCTGAAGATATGGAAAATCTTGCTAAAGAGAGAAGAAAAATATGGGAGGGGGAGTTATCAATCTACACTTGATACAACTATCAGCACTTCCAGCAGTGGCATTAAAAATATGCACTCAAACATGACAGTATTCATTGTCAAACATTTAGGTCAAGTTTTATTGGAAGCTATATTAAAGGCAGCTTAAACATAGCTAGAACATGATCTTCATTGATTTAAACTGAAAAAAACAAACAAACCCCCCCCCCCAAAAGACAACCCACTTAGCTACAAGCCCGGAGCATCACCTAGTTGATATGCTGTAGTTGGTCAAAACAGCCAGCTGCAGAAAAAAAAGTGCCGTTTTCCACCCCCAACTGATAATCCCTTAGCTAATAGGAAGAGCATTAAGAAGGTATTCTCCTGCATAATCCCTCAGTGCAAGACACCACTTTGAAGTGGTCTCCATTCTGTTCTGCTAAGCTGATAGCCCCTTACTGACCTCTGGAATACTGTCTGACCTTGGGCTCCTGATACTGCAAACATTGGCCTGAACTGGAAAAAAGTTGGTTTCAGAGACCGAGAGAAAAAAAAATACATAAGTGAAACTACCACTATACAGAATGTCCACAGTCCAGTAATTTATTTTTTTTTTTTAAATTTGAGTAGTTTCAAATTGCACAAACAAAACTGAACAGTAATATTTTTGCTTGAACTCTCTCTTCTGTACACTCAAAAACAGTGATCTAAAACACCACAATATCCAACATACACAAACCTCAGGGCAGGGTTAGTAGATACATAGATTGGAATCATGGTGCTCTGTTCCTGAATGGAATGTCCCACAAAAAAAGCACAGAATACAGCACAACATAAGGTCATTGTTACATGTGGAGTGAGCCAAAACACTAGCATTTTTCTATATGCATAAATGGAAAACCTGCATAGGTTAAGGGAAACTTTACTCATTTTTAAGTCAGGCAAGGTTGTCTTTACGCATTTAAATTTGTTTTAAGAGCTATGCAATCCAACCAGGGTAGGATATGCTGATTAGTGTTGTCTTTCATCGGCAGTCTTGCAAGATCAGATACAAATCTCTGCTTTAGCTTTCTCTGAATATACAATGAGACTTAAAATGCATTTAGATAAACAGTACATATTGCAAGCTGCTCACATACAATGAAAAAGATTCAATATTAGAGTTGAACACTATAGAGTGCAAATCTCAATCTTCACAACAGACTGTTTTAATGGTAAGAAGCAGTCCTCCAGAAGAGCCCATTTGAACAAGACAAAAGTTAAGCTATTCCCCTTTCAAACAAAGTCTAAACATGGAATGTGAAAAAAAAAAAAAGAGAGGATTAAATGTAGGTGTGATCCCAATAGTTTGCAC